TTAAAAAAAGATATACACTTAGGAGGTGGTATTGGATTGGTGTTTTTAATGTATTTTATAGTAATTGTATTTTAAAATATTTTGTTGGGTTTTGATGAATTCACAATGATCCACTACCTTGAGTTGGTTTTTAATGTATTTTGTTGTAATTGTATTTGAAAACATTTTACTGGATTTTGATGGATTCACAGTGACCCCACGATTGCATGCTTTTTGTTTATTTTCTACTCTTGTAATTGTTTTCGTATTAGTTATTTGCGGAGAGATCTTGGATATTATGAGAATATCTTTGATATTACGATAGAAAATCAAAGTAACAAATAGTTCGTTGTAGTCCAGTAGAAAAAATATTTTTTCAAAAAATTTAGTTCACCTGATAATGTTGTTTTGATGATTTTTTTAGTTGGATATGTTTTTTGTTGTAATAAAAAAAATAATGGATCTGTTTTTGTTATTAACAAAATAGAAAAAAAAAACTGTAGGGATATTTTTTTGGAATCACAAATCCGAGGGTAGAAAGTTGTGTGGACGGATCGTGGAAAGAGACTGAACCCACGAGTGGATTGGGATGGATTATGCAGGTCCAAGACGGCGAGACGGATCTCCTCGGCTTACGAGGAATGCGAAGGACACTATCCCCTTTACACACGGAGATGCATAGCCTACTTTGGGCGATGACGAGCTTACGGAAAAAAAAAAAGATATTGTGCTCTGTTCGTAACAGATTCCCAGGAATTGATTACTATGGTACATGAACCAGACAAATGGCCCCGCTTCAAACCAGAGTTGGATGAGTTGACGGACTTACGTTCTTACTTCCCGGACTTTACACTCACGTATTTCCCCAAGGACCAGAATGCGAAAGCGGACTTACCCGCGAAGACCGCTCGTCAACGTAATTTGAATTTTTCTAGTATTAGCACTTCGATTCCTCATTGGTTCCCGAATACGGTTGTATTTGGATAGTCAATGAGCGAAGTGTGTTCGTGACCAAGAAAAAAAAAAGTAGAAGGTTGTATTGTTTTACTCATGTTTTAGGCAAAATAATCCATTAAAATTCACCACCACTAAATCTCCTAAAATCAAGGGGATTTCGAATAACACATATTTTTAATGTATTTCAAAATACAACAAACAAATACAAGATCTAATAACAGTAGATTTTAATGTATTTTAGCAAATACACAATTGAATAACACATGAAAACACGGTAGATTTAAAATCCATCTAATTCTGTTAAAATACAGTATCCAATAACACTTCCTTATTTACCAAAATATATTCTTAACTTCATCAATCATTCAATAACCGTAGCCATGACTATATTGAAAAAATATATTTTGTTATATTTGGCGTTTCATTTGGTTATACATTTTTTTTTTGCTAAATCATTTGGTTTTACATATTCTATTTATGGCTGTTTCAATCGAAGTTGTTTGCGCTATTATTTTTTTTATCACTTGTAAAATTTTTGTAAAGAAATCAACATGATGATAAAAAAATACATTGATTTATATATCATGGAATTTAGTAACACAATTAATAAATAAATAAAATTAGCATCTTTCAAGAAAGTTAATAATACTAGAGAAATTTTAAAAAATGTCATATCTCATATGCCACTTTACAAAAATGCTACACTTTAAAATTGTTTACAAGCGTGCCACTATTCATTAAACCAAAAGTCAAA